TGCTTTTTCTCAAGGTTAACTTGACCATCTTCTGTAGTACATTTTACGTGAAAAGGCGAGATGGTGTGGTTCTTTTTTTGTGTAAATAAGTTAAGACGATAAAATAAAACACAAATTAATTAAAATACTTACAGCTTTTCAACGAATCAGGCCAAAAATACTCAGGTTCTTCTCTTGATTGCGGTCATCACTTCATATACAACAGAAGCCACGCGAATCTGATATCGTCTGGCGGGAAATCCTGTTATCAGTTGCACAGCTGGTGCTTGGTAATACGATGCATCCACGATAGTAAACATACTAGTCTAATTAGTTGTTTGGTAATCTACTAGGGACTTTTAATGATGTACTAGCCAAACTAGTAATCTTTACTAGGTATTTTTTTCAGTGTACTTACCTGTATTCCATGGAATAAATGTTCTCATCAAACTACACATTCTTTTAACATTTCAAGCGTTTTAACCGTCTTCGACCAATTTTTTTAGGAGAGATCTAAATTTTATAGATTGTGTGTCCGACTCTAAGCTCCCTACTCTACGTTTCTGAAAATCTTTTCTACAAATTGCAAAAGTCGTAGCTTTCAAGAAGATTGTCAAAGGAAGTGTATAAGGAGACATAACTGTTAATAATGACATTTGCTCTGTTATAGTCAAAAGCGTAGTTATAAGAAAATTCAGGGAAGTATAATAAATAAGCAGAAACGTTAGGAACTATATGACAAGAAAGGGACCTGAATTAGGAAAATTGATAATTCTATATGCAACTGCATAAATATTTTCTGTAATTAAATTTGTATTAAAGTGTACGTGTATCTGTATATTACAGTACTGTTAATCGTGGACTAAGAGTAGTTCATGAGAATATTTCTCAAACTAGCTTTCAGTAGCTTCGAGTACTCTCGGTATCTTAAGTGTTTTTGTTATTTGTTTTTGTGTATTGCATCAATCTGATCAATTTGATGGGCCAAGCCCTTTTCAACTGTTTTAACAGTTTGTTCTTATATTGTACTTTTACACCACTGTCCCAGGATTGGGGAGGGTTGGACGACTGGAATCACTCTTTATATGCCTGTTCCAAGTCAGGAGCTTAAACACAATAGGTAAAAATGTCACAAATAGGGGTACAACAGCAACACGAACCCCACCAAAAACTGGGGGTGATCTCAGGTGACCAGGAAGGGTAAGCAGATTCTGCTCCACATGTGGCACCCGCCGTGTTGCTCATGTTATTACAAAGTCGGTAAATAGTTTAATTTGGTAAGTCACATTCGTGAAAAGGGAACGGGATTGTAGTTACGACATAAGGAACATATCCGATATCATCTGTGAAACGGATATTCCATAACGGTCAACCAACTCGTGATTGCGTCCGTAAAATTTGTTTTGTTTGTTCGTTTTTTTTATATATATAAATAAGCGTGTTGGTTTTCACAATTGAATTGTTTTACATTTTGTCATTTAGAGGCCTTTTATAGCGTGCTATGCGGTATGAGTCTTTCTCATTGTTGGAGTCCGAACGGTGACATATAGTTGTTAACAACAACGTCATTTGGTCAATTGTGAATACCACATCAAAATTTATAAACAGTATGTTGAAAATAAATTATAACTTTATATTCTAGTATATATACGAACAAATGGATTGGCATCTTGTGTACACTTGCATAGGATTTTGAAACCCCGTACCGACCGGACGACAGTTCGTTACTGTGTATTTATATATTCTTCACAGTCAAACAAGCGCCCAAACGCACAAGATTCACTGGAGAATGAGATAAACAGGACATATGGGGTTCTAGCCATTTAGTTAATAACACAATGACAGAAAAATCTAAAAGATATTTTAAGGTTGCTGTCGAGTTTGAAAAGAGAAGAATATATTGTACAGGATATCAGAATAACAAATGGATATAAAGTAGAAGCTAACATATAGGTTATATAGATTAAAAAGACGTTTACAGATAAATAATTTACGAAAATAAATAAGCGCATGAATATGGACGTTAAGCCCGGTACTTTTTCATTATTTGCTCTTTCCTTGATGATGTTTGCTTGAATAGTAATTACACATGTATAATGAGGAGATAGATACACATGAACAACAACAAGAAAAAGTGTTGTAGAAAAAGCATCAAATTGAAGATAAACATGTGACTTTTAATTTGTCGGGGTACAGTAAACAATAAAACGTTTCGTTAGCTTATTTTAATTTCCTGTTCAATTCCGTATTTGAATTTACACCTGCCCTCAATTTTAATAGAGTATATTCCATTTTCTTTCTTTTTCATTTCTTTCGGAATTTCTTCAAAAATAATTGTTCTCATATTCAATGAACATGTGTACATGCTTTGTTGCTTTTGGTTGTAAAAGGTTCCTTTGACGATACCTTTAACTGCCACCCATGTTTCAAATGAAAATTCACTTTGTCGTTCTTTTATTTGCATCGATGCTGTAATGGTGGACGTTTTTGGAACTCTAAGACAACCTTCAGCAACCCATGTAAGTGATTTTTCCTCGGAGTTTTCAATTGCATTTTCTAGCGAGAATCCCTTGGAATATCCAACTGCAGCATTTGCAATATCGCCTGGTGCTGAAAGAGATAATCCAACATCGAAACCCATTGTGTATCCTTTAGTTAAACAACTTTTACAAGACGACGAAGTTTGTCTTTCTGCTCTCAGTGTATGCTGTTGTTCAACATTGCTTTTGTTTTCAAAGACAGTTTTGAAAATAATATGAACTGCGTCTGCATCTTTTCCACTTACGTTGAATTCCTTGAAGATAGGTTCGTCAGGAATAAATTTTACACGAGACCAATCCAATACTAAATCAAGTTTTTCTCTTTTTCGAGGAATACATCTTCGTGTATGTTCTTGATACAGAGCCCATGCTCGCTTTTTAACTAGTTTATCTAAATCTAATATATTTTTGTCTGTTTGACGCAAATCCTAGAAAAAAGGAAAACAAAAAAACATAGTTGTTTAAGATTAAAATATGTCTACAAATTCATTTCTTATTTGTTAACCTTTGACATACCTTGTAAAAATCTTAAATCGCGTTCTTTGTGCATTGACAGCAAATATATATCGTTTATGGCTTTGTACTTAATTTTTGTTTACTTTGTACTTATTTTATGTGTATTTTTACTATTGTCCCGACTCCTTAACGTCAGAAGAAAATGATGTATGAAAAAATGAGATCACCTTGACCTCTCCTATTCGAATAAAACATCGGAGCTAGTGGAATACTGTTTTTTGTTGTTGAGGAATTTTGTATGAATCTGTAGCATCCTTCATTTAGAACTGGTTTGCTGAGGGTGCACGCATAACGTTAAGAATATAATTGAATAAGTCGTCTAGGGATCCGTAGGTCGTCTGTTGCAATGGCAAAGATATTACGTGATTTTAATTTTTTTATGTATCCGTGAAATTTTAAAAAGTCAACGAAATATGAGCTAATACAGATCAATTTAGTTGAATATGTGTACCTAACGCAGTAGAAACAGTTTTTTAATCTGTACAATTCAGGTTACATAACAAATATTGTCTACTCCATAGCATATCAAGGTATCACTCATTTGCATAAAGATGTAATTATAATATATAAAAATATCGAATAGGCCCTGCCCTACATTTGTTTTTTTTAACGCCTTCCTGGATATTTTAAGATATTTGCCCTAATATATCATGTTAGTTTTCATCATATGCATTTGAATACAGGCAGTAAATTCTGCAATATATTTTTTTATATAATCTTTTTACGTTAGTAACGTGCTTTTTCTCATTTGCCTAACAATATTAGATTGTCCGTGACAGTTGCATATCTATGTTTCTTATAAAGCACTAGACGGGGACCATTCTGCATCTACTGTTGAATAAAAAAAATTAAAAAAAACATGTAATGCATAATGTTAACTATATCATTTCCTTTTATATTTGATAGTTTTTTTTCTTTTCTTTTGCTTATTGCTTCTTTACTTTTTATTTAATCCAATGCATGTGCAGTATTTGATTGATTGTTTGATTAATGCTTAACGCTACTTGTAGCACTATTGGCTATTTCGATGCGGTCAGTGTTTACTGGTGGTTACATCCCAACTCCTTTGTTTCAACAGGGGTGATCTGAGTCGAATCACCCCCCTACCAGATCACCCTACCTTGAATTTCTTTGTTCTGCATGCTTTCTTTTGTTTTGTAACAATTTGGCGGGAATGTCATACACACAATAAAACTTAGAAATAGCTATGCGAAATAAAGACTAACTTTCAAAATTGATGTAGAAAAATTCCACGAAATTTCCAGCATATTAAGCCACGATTCATACCCCTATACCAGGGCGACTGGACACAAACTCAAGTTTAATTTAACATATTTAAACATTGCATACGGCGCTCATGAAGGGTATATACTATATAGTAATATATGAAGTATATTCTTAATTATTGTATCATGTATGGCATTCTGAACTAGATGTGTTGAAGCGTAAATGTTTTTTCATATAGTCTAGAAGAGCTGGGATGTAAAAAAGTTATCCCACTCGGACTTGGTGTGTCAATGTAAGATCACCTTCCCGCCTCTGGCCATCGGGGTGATCTTACATTGACACACCGCGTCCTCGTGGGATAACTATTACAGAAAGCCGGAGTCCCCAGAGAGAACCACCGACCTTCGGTAGAAAAACTGACAATCCTGGTCAATTAAGATTGAAGTCGAATTCACCTGCCACGTGGTCGGTTCGAATTCACAACATCAGTGTTGACAGGCTAGTGATAATGTAGCTGAACTACTTAAACAACTCAACCACCGAGGTCCCTTTTTGGCAATGTATAAAATCTAAAGGTACAGTATTTGATATTTAATAGTTCTTTTCAAAAGAGAGCATTGTAATATTTATTCATTTACTGTTGGTGTACGGTTTTTAAGCTGATATTTAATTTACCACTATCTATATGAAAAAATGAGGTTGAATAATCAAAAATCCATTTTATAATCTTTATTACAGAACACTCTACCCGCTGAAGAATGTACAAAATAAATAACATATTTATGGCAAGACAAAAGATGAAAAGAGAGCTAATGCAATCGTAAGTAAAAAAAGGAAGCCGGGGGCTGACATCATACTTGATCTCATATGGCACAATATATACATAAATATAAATGTTTCCGAATTCCAACGGATTTTTTGGTGTTTTGTTTTGATTTTCTCTAGCACATGCCAAGTTAAGTTTCCTTGCCTGTGATGATCTTGTTTTGTTTTTGTAGTATTCAGTTTTGGTTCCGTTTTATCGTCTCCATAAGAAATATTATTGAGAAACGCAATTCATTTTGATTTATCATTGCTTGCCATTCCATGTATTTTTACGAATTTGACTGATCATAGGACATGTAAAACTGGTACATTGGTAAATCATGTTATATGAAAATGGTTTTTTTTTTCTATAAGAGTCAATCACTCAGGTCACACATTTTAACATAATTAGTGTAATCACACCATACATTAATGCGCATTAAATATCTTCTTCGCTTGGCATATGATATGAACGTTTGTTGATAATCATAAAAGCATGTTTTCCCCTGGGATAGATCACTGTAGCCCTATTCGTCAAAACATTTCGGAATGTGTGGCCCTCAATGCTCTTCAAATTGGTACTTTATTTGGCCTTTTTTTATTCGAGCTTTATTGGCGAGTCTTTCGTAGACTAAACGCGCGTCTAGCGCGATCAAAATTATAAACCTGATATCCTTGATGAGTTGTTTTGACCTATTTAAAAAGTTTTTTTTTTTTCATTTTATCTCATTGAAATGTATCCTACAGTTCTTTTTATTCATAAAACCTACATCATCTTCAATGAAGTCATTACAGCAGCAACAGCAGATGACCGAGCCCATTTATTAGATGCTATCTCACTGGATTATACTCGCTTGTCATCCTGAAAAATTATGAAAATGAAGTTTTGTTAAACCAATATTTAAAGATTTATAGAGCAGTATATTATCATTCGCACAAAATTAATTGCTGTGATTTTATAATGAATTATTTTGCCTGTATCTCACAGAGTTTTTTCATTGATTTTGAAAAAAACAAGTTTACACATCTTTCAAGCAAAGTTTAGCTTCTACGGTTTTGTAGATTTCACAAATAGGCATACACATCGCTAAAAACTTTCGATAACACTGTAATTGGGCAGACATTGAAACATTGAAAATTTCACAATATATCCACTTGACATAAAGAATCTTTAGGCAATAACGGTGTTACTCTGACTTAACTTACCACAGATACACTGTCTCAAGTCATTAATATCAAGTATCGTAAATCTAGGTTTTCATTGGTTTTAAAATAAGGCATTGACAAAGAAGGAGGTGCTTAACCAGCCTTCACTGCTGGTTTTACCGTATTGAAGGTTCATACTAGATCCATTACTTCATAGCAACGTTTCCCTGTCTGTAACGTTCTTGAAACGTGGAAGAATATACGAAGACACATGTGGATCAGGATCTGCTTACCCTTCCGGAGCACCCGAGATTACCCCCCGTTTTAGATGGATTCGTGTTGCTCAGTCTTTAGTTTTTCTATGTTGTGTCTTGTGTACTGTTCTTTGTCTGTTGATCTCTTTCTTTTTTATCCATGACGTTATCAGTTTATTTTCGACTTCTAAGCTAAGTTTGATTGTTCCTTTGGTATCTTTTGACTCTCTTTTACAACCAGTTTCATTTTATTTTTAACCCAATAAAGGTGATCACTTCTTCAGACAAAGTTGACCTCAGTAACATTAACCTATTCTGTTTAAGATATTACTATTTTATTTTCTTTCTCAAATATTTGATACTTTTGTCTTTTAAGGTGGTAACAAACGTCTTTTATACAAAATAAACTTGAAAAAATGCAGTTCCGAAAGAGTCGATAACTCTTATTAACACCTGATGGATTCTATAATTTAACAGATGTTTTATGCATGTGCACTCTCCTAACAAGACAAGGGAAACATGAAGAATAGAATACATGAATGCTTATTTGTGTGTGTATTTCATTGATTAAATGTTGTTACCTTAATGTTCAATGGCAATAATGGTAAACTTTATCAGGCCATGCACAAACTAAAATACATGAAAGAGACAAGTTCTGCAAAAAGATGGACCAGGACAAAGAACGATTGCCATGGAAAAAGAGGGTATGGAGGAAAAACACAATCTGTTCGCCTTGCAAAAGACCACATATGGAACCTTAACAGGTTGTTAAAAGAAATCTTAATGTTCAGAGAGCGAGGTATTCCTCTTAGATAAGGCATTGGTTACCATCCCAGCTAGGCTACACGTGTCTGCAAATTCAAACATCCCACAGAACCTAACGAACACAAGGAGACCAAGTGAACATTTTCTTTTTCATTTGTATTACTGGACACAATCCTTTATCATACAGTTTAAGTACGAATCTTGTTTAAAGTTTATCGACATAATATATATATGGAGTTGTTATAAATTGTCCTTGTTTACTTGCCTTTTCATCATATGTTCATATCAAAAGTGAATACATCTATATCAATTTATTTCAAAATTGTAATAAGAAAAATGGTTTTTAATCTACAAATTTTGTCGGCCTTTTAAATAAATCAAAATATAACGTTTCGATAATGTTCAATATTATTTTTCTTTTAAATTTGACTTTGTTTTTAGATTTTATGATATAGATGCACCTAGTCACCAAGTTTTAGATACCTGAAATCCCTTTTGCTTTATATTCTATCAGATTCTATTAGAGACGTGATCTATCATATTCTAATTTTAAAACAATGTTTCATTGTTATTTAAGTTGTATAGATTTCAGATAGCCGAGCAATGTGAGATTAGATAAAATGTTTAAATATAAAAAAAACATATAAAAAAAACTAAAATATCACATAACCAACAGATAATCATATTGAATTTTACTATAACGAGGAATTCTGCCTTCCTTATGTCATACAAATTACCATAACAATCAATAAATATTACTTGCTGAGTCATAAAATTGATCTAATACTACAAGTTGCACTAATTTACTTACAGTTTACGCTTGGATTGTACATGTTTAAGGTCGTCTGTTGATAGAAAAGTTTGCGCATGTGTATGGTTTATTTGCATAAATTAAATTGAAGTCGTGAAATGTTATGTTTCTGCAGGACATAACTTGAAACAGGACAATTATTGGAAATCATTTGGAATTCTAAAACTGTGTAGATTACGTAATATAGTTTTATGAATATATTGTTACTGACAACGCATATGATTTCATTAGAATGAAAAATCATTAAATCCAGATATAGATATCGATTAAACAGCTCTATAGATATGTTTATAAATAATATAGTATCAAATGGTTGAGACATGTTAATATAGCAGTATACATTCTTTGTTGAATCATTGATCATTCTTTTTTTTAAAATCTTTTCAGAGTTCATGATTGTAATTGATTTTTTAAACGAAGTGCATAACAACATCAAAATATTTACAAGTGCATTGCTTCCTGGTGACAGGATATACATGGTATTATGCTTTTTAAAATTTAATATATGAGATATATGATCAGTAGACAGATTTATACTTATGACAACATTATAATCAAAAAGAAATACACATAATAAAATTGAGAATGGAAATGGGGAATGTGTCGAAGAGACAACGACCCGACCAAATAACAGAAAACAGCGGTAGGCCACCAATGGGTCTTCAACACAGCGAGAAAATCCCGCACCCTTAGGCGAGCTTCAGCTGGCCCCTAAAGAAAATGTGTACTAGTTCAATGAAAATGGACGTCACACTAAAACATATAAATGAACATGTATGTCAGACGGTGAAAAACGAAGTACCCTATGCCGTACAAAAATAAATTTTGGCGATATTGCGATTCCAACAAATTACAAAGGCAAATCGTCCTATCTTACAATCGTAGTTTGGCAGTTGCTTCCTACCAAAGCACCAGTCTGAATGTTACCAATACTGTATTTGATAATTGTGAAGAATAGAAATAAACGTCGATTTTAATACGAATACAAGATCCTTGGATAAAATGTGATTACCATCGTTTGGGACCCAAATATCCAAAACCTGTTTAATCATTTAAAGTTAAACTGACACAAAGATACCTGCCAAAACCGTCTGATGTCACATTTCTCCTTTTAGAGTAGTCTCATTTTTGAAGTACAAAAATATAGTGAATATACAATTATAATCCAAGGGAGTAACTGAAATAAACAAAGTAGGGAAAAGAAAGAATGTAGACATATTCAAAATTGGCAAAAACGTAGACAAGTATTCAAATAACTATACTTCGGCCTAAAATAAATGACATTTTCATATGACGAAATGTAGTGAAGAATATTTTATCTGTGTGTTGGGCAACCGGGAGAGGGGGGATGGTTATATATGTATATAGCTATATAGCTTGACTGTTAGCGGTTAAGACAACAGTGTATGACCTTTTTAGGAAGAGAAAAACCAATCTACGTCATCCCCATGTGTCCCTAATTCCCCTTTCTAAGGATATGAATAATTTCATGTAAGAAAACATCCCTTATGGCATGAGTTTAATTAGAATCTTAATTATTTACAGATTATTTAACTTTATATTGTTAGCCACGAAAAAACAGTGAATATACAATTACAGTCTATAGAAATAACTGAAATAAATAAAGCACTGAAAAAAAATGAATGAAGTAATATTTAAAATTGGTAAAAACGGAGAAAAGAATTCTAAGAACTATACTTTCGCCTGAGAATAAGGACCATTTTTATATGATGAAATTCAGTGAATCATAGTTTAAGTGTGTGGTGGGCACCGACAGTGGAGGGGGTTATATATGGTGTATCGTGAATTTTCAGAGTGTGCTTAATTTAACATTGACGTACTAGCGGTTAGGATAACAGTGTTATTCACATTTTATGGAAGAGATACACAAATCGCCTTCCATCCCTAAATGTCTGGAATACCATTTGCAAGAGATAGTATAGACAATTTCATGATAAAAAAAAACCATCCCTAATGGGACACGTTAAATTTGAATCTTGATTATTTAAAGATTACGTAACTTTATATGTTTAGCCACTTGCGTATATAGACGATTAATTTAGTTGAACAGTTGAAACATCTACACCAAACTCCTTTTATTAAAGAATTGAGGATACACTTCGTTATGGACAATCCACTAAGTCAACAAATAACTCTCTAAATACTATTTTTATATATAATCGCATGTTATATAATGTCTCACGTTAAAACCATATTAGTTTACTTGGGAACCCTCGTTAAATAAAGGACATTTTAACAAGGGAACATATGAAACACGTTGTTATAAGACATATTACATTTTTTTTCTCACAGATGCATTGATCAAATTGTAATTTCAAAGGAATATAACACCAATGTTTCTTATTCTCTATATTTTTCAAATTCATTTTATTTACTAACTTATAAAGATAAGACGATACTGTAGTTGTTTTTATAATACGAATTATATATGCACACGTATCTTTAGAGAAAGGTAACATATTACAGTTTGTATATTTTATGTTAATACAAACATTACATTTTGCACTGGTATCTTTAAATACTCTGTTTAACTAATGATACCCGTAGTATCCGTTTTCAACTTTACATGCTTTTATTGTAAATTAAAGGTTAACAGGTCGTTTAATGTATTTTGAAGAAGTAATGTTCCGCAACGATAACACCTGTAGTTATGTAGAAGATGTGTGACAAATTATATTTTACTGTTGAAGTGTCAAAGGATATGTGTTGCTAAATAATAAACAGACACAATTCATTGTATACATATCTTTCCCACTTAAGTGGCCTGAATTCAATAGCGAAATAATATATGCAATAATAAGGAAGAAGTTGACGATGATCGTTTGATAAAACGTAATTACAACTTAAATAAAATATATTTATTCGTAATAAGTTTAATTTGAAAAAAAATTCAGTACTAACAATGTACAAAAATGCATGGCTCTTATTAATCATTTGATGTGGATGTGTGTGTGTGTGTGTGTTATTCTATGTTTGACTTGGCAATTGCGATGACTGTCCTTCTTATTTTTCCTTTTAAATATGTACATAAATATCAAATAAATTCAATTGAAACGAGATTGAAATGCACATGTGCATACTTTTTAAAATAAAAGCTTAAGGTTCTTGCTTTGGTTTAAAAAAAATCGGCACATGTTGACTATATATTTTAATTGGCGATAAAATTTGTAATATTCTCTTATGAAATCGAAGGGAAAACTACAATTATACGTTTTATGACACGCCTGAACATGATATACTGCCCTCTGCTGAATAAAAGGCAGGAATGTTTAATTGTTATAATGAATACCTCTTGAAATATATTTCAAACGTAAGCAAATTATTTGACATTTAAATTCTTATATTAATGTATGAAATGTTTGCAATTGTATTGATTTTCTGAAATCTTTTCGATCAAATATCTTCTCATTACATTTTGTGTAGACTATCCTTTTAAATTGAAAAGAAGATATATTACCCCTTGTGAGTTATGAATAGTAATATAATCGCAAGTTGTTTGCAGATATTAAGGCCGTAGTTTACTTGCAACGTTATAATTTGTAGATAATTTTATCTGAATAGTTTTTTTTTTTAATTTAGTATGTTATATCAAGGATAATTTGAAAAGACATGTTTTTTATACTTTTTTGTTCATGAACGCATTATTACCTGGTATTAAAACTAGACCGAAAACACTAAGGTAAACGTGTTATTGTGTATATAGATTTACAGATAGTCTTGAGAACAGTAAACGGCATCAAGTTTAGTGCACCGGATTTGTTAATCCAAAAATGTTTACAAAACCAAACAATGTATACGCATTCGGGAGATGCTTTTCTTAATTTTGAATGAAATTCATTGTTTTATCACTGCAAATTTCACGAAAACAAAATAGATTGCTACTTGACTAGTAATACAGTCGGCAAATTACAGTCCATCAGTATAAGTATCAAACTTTTGGTCCACCAAAAATGTATTTGAACTAGTCAGAAGCATATGCTTTGAGTAGTTTGTAGACGATACTGAACTGTACTAGACCTAGTATGAAAAAGAAAACGATCAAATATTAACCATATAAAGATAAGAAGATGTAGCAAGACTTTCAATGAGACAACTATCAACCGGATTATATCTAAAGCGTATTTAGTCAAATCAGACATATAGTATTTGTCCAAATATTATACAGTATCTTTGATTAAAATGTAATCTGTAAGAATAATACTTTTATTGATATGCGGTTCAAGTACAATATAGTACTGAAAAGTACAAGAAAAGACGTGGTACCGATCGAGTAAATGTCATACAAGTGAGAGGTTTAGCTAGCTATAAAACCAGGTTTAATCCACCATTTTCTACATAAGGAAATGTCTGTTCCAAGTCAGGAATATGCCAGTTGTTTTCCATTCGTTTGATGTGTTTGAGGTTTTGATTTTTCCATTTGATAAGGGACTTTCCGATTTGAATTTTCCTCGGAGTTCGGTATTTTTTTTATTTTATTTTTTCAGACTATTACACAACATTTTATTATACTGTACACTAAAATAGATCAAATTAAATTTAATACATGTTTTAGGCCTTTTTGGATATTCGTATGGGTAACGTCTCTTTATGTAACTTTAGGTTGTTGTTGTCTAGATTACCAGAGATGTATTTTGCACCCTTGTATTGGTATTATTCGTTTATATTACTAAAGAATCTCTAAGTGCTGATGGAATGTCTGCATATTTTTCGAGACTATGTATAGTTATTTTATTTGTATAGAAGAATGTCATGTCATATCAACTTTGATCAACTAACAACAGACACGATTCAAATGCACGTCAATGACTCCTTATCGTAATTCTTGCAAAACACACGAATAATACGAATTAGGACGATTACAGACAGTCTTTGAAAATCTCTCTCTCTCTCTCTCTCTCTCTCTCTCTCTCTCTCATTTATGTTCTTGTGAATTAAAACCTGTAGATAAATTGATACAACGACCAACAGGACATTAATGTCCTTCACATTTGAGGATATTATAATGGTTTCAACATGATTGTTTTATTCTTTCTAGTTATTTCCTATTTCATTATATTTCAGGTTGCATATGGACACACGAGAACCAGCAAATCCAGTGTTATCCAACACACTTTCAAAAATTATCGCCGATTGAACAGAGTCGACCATAATGCAAATGCCTAAAGTCAAAGACGAATGCATAACATTTATACATTGGATTGTATCGAATGTGATTTCCTCAAGAGTTCTTAATAACATTCTGTAATCTTTGACTAAAACAAAATTATTAGAAAATAGATTAATATCTTATTAATTAAATATTTTACAGCCAAAAGCCATCTTGGTATAATTGGAAACAACTATTGCTATGAATAAAACGTACTAATTCGTCTGTGCCTTAAATATGATATTTCTAATTTCTGTGGATTTCATACGTTTTAATTTCAAATTAATTTACTCACATGTTTGTTTATTTGATATAAATTATAACGCAGTTGTAAATCCATAATCACTTTTGACAAACCATATATATCCAAGTGATAAACACTTTCAGAACACACACGAAAATTCCAAATCATTCTTAAACAACTATCATTGGCGAAAACTTTTTTTTACATCAACAAAATTCCTATCCAAGTATACAAATCTAAAACGTTCCATTGATCACTTACCAGAGTTAGTAAAACTAACCATAGTTTAACTTAGAATTCAAAGTTATTCCATTGGTTAATTCTAATCACATGATATCGAAATACATTCATACTATGGAAGGAAGCAGGGACATTTCTATTAAATATGTCACCGTTACACAATGTACATACCAGAAAGAGGCTAGATGAGGGTCGTCGATGGGATAAAGATCTACAGATATACGCAATTGATCACATACTATCTTCAACGATATACAAGTGTCCATACCATATAAAAAGCTGTATATCCTCTGCAGACTAGGCAGATCGTTAATACATTGAACAGAACTACCAAATAGATTGTATATGCAATAGAAATAAACACCAAGATATAGACAAAGACAAACAAGGACGAAGCTCCTGACTTGATTAATCATATGAATAGTAAACTATGGTGAAGTTAAACAATCCCATCGATTCCAGAAGTATTTCTTGTTTATTGATTCATACTATGAATTGTCTTTTTAGGAACTTATGCGGGATTAATTGTGTTTCTTTATATTTCCAGTCCCCGCAGACACCGTTGACATTAAAGGGGTGTTGCTATTCTCATAAGTAACGTGTGGTCATATAGCTCCTCATGCATTCAAATACTTATACATCATTGGCTTTAAAATTTTGGGGTTTGGGCGTTCCCGATGACGGTGAATCCAAAAATCAGTAAGCTCAAATGAGTACGTTCACGAAGGGTCAATATCGGCCCCAAAATTCCGTGATATTTAACTTCGTTAATGATAATAAACCTTTGATGACAACATATGTATAGAATATGACAAATACAAAATCAATCAACTTTGACGCATTATAACTCTTATGATTGAATAATGACGTTATAAGTGTGCTCTCGTTAGTTTCAACACAGTCAGTCACAGTTTACCTTGAAATACTTTTGCGTTTTAAGGTCTTTTTTTATCATAAAGATATTCAACTGATTCGGTTCTAATGCAACCTCGGCATTAAAAAAAGTAAGAAAATAAAATTTATTCAACGGGTAGGTTCTGTAAGATTGATAAACTATGATTAGGAACGTCAAATTCGGACCACTATTGAGATATAAAAGTTTGCATAGATACATCTCTGAAAGTTACAAGGGTTAATTAAAGTGCTGAGAGCGTGGTAATTGAACATGTATCAAGACCTGTTTCATTTCACTCCACTACTTCGATTTAACGTAGCTGTGTATTTCTACATCACACACATCCCACTTTATAAAGATTCGTCTGCCGAACAGAAAAAATCTTTTTTTCATAGTGTTTGATATGATTTACATCTTAACAAATACGTTATGTTATGTATCTTTTGTGTTTTTTTCTATCGAAATCGATGGGGAAATGGTTAGTATTTCAATAAAATAAAATTAAGTTAAACCCTGCTTCTTGTTCATATGCCTGTTCAAAGTAAAAAATCATAAATGTATAATGTTTTTCAAGGATATGTTCAGAGAGTCGTAACCACAAACCTATCCTCTTTTCTTCCAATCATTAACGAATAAGACTTATCACCGATTTTCGACTTATCATGAGCAACATGACGAAAACCACATGTTAAGCAGGATCTTCTACCTTCCGAAGCACCTGAGATCACCACCGTAGATTGTCTTTCAGTCGGAAGTTGTTTTCTATGTGGTGTTTGCATAGTCTTGTTTTTCGGGTTTTTTTTTTGCCATGACGTTGTCAGTTCCACTTCGAGTTTTGAATGTCCCCTCGTTTTAGTAGTCTTATTAAACTTATATACAACTATTTCTTAAATAGAGTTAATTTATACCTGGATATGTTATATAGATACTTGTCTTTTGTTGGATCGTATCATTATCGCTATATGTAGTTTTGTTTTTAGTTTTGTTGGTTTGCAGTCTAATTTGTATATACCCACTACTTTATTTTCATTCAAATATTCCCAAGTAGTAAGCTTTCATTATTGAAATATAATGATACACCTTAGTATGTTTTGTTTGTTTATTATGCTTAAAACAGAGACATATATACTATACTGGCTTTGAACTATCTGTCAGTAGCTGCGATTACTCTCAGATCAGTACTTTGTGTCTTTTTTGTTGTTAGTAATGATGAATGGATAAATACCATGCCACGTCCGGTCTGTGTTTTTGTATCGATCTGAAGAGTAAAGCTTTTTTCAACTGATTTTTATATTTTGTTCTTATGTTGTACTGTTACAGCCAATGTTTGGGGAGGGTTGGACACTCACAAACATGTTTAACCGCATTCGTTGTGTGCCTGTCCCAAGTCTGGAGCCTATAGTGCATTGGTTGTCGTTGGTTCATATGTCTGTCATATTTGTTTTTCGTACATTGTTTTGTTATAAATTAGTCTATTAGTTTTCATGAATTGAATTGTTTCATATTTTTCATATATGGGTTTTTTATAGCAAACTTCACGGTATGGGGTTTTCTCATTGTTGAAGGCCGTACAGCTGCCTATAATTGCTTACATCCACTTCATTTAAACTTTGGTGGATAGTCGTCTCATTGGCAATCAAACCACATCTCCTTATTTTTATATAAATAATAGTTTACCGACAAAATGAGCAATTACTTTTGGGGGGGGGGGGGGGTGGGGGGTGGGGGGTGGGGGTGGGGGCGGGGGGGGATATATAAAAGCGCATGCTTTTACTGTACATCTGAACTTTCAGATTTAATCTTGAAATTAAAAAAACACAAAAGTTCACTTTTATGTCTGTGTTTGCATTGTGTCAGCTATCCACTTATATGGGAAGTTTTTAATTTTGTTTGTTAACTAAGTATTTACGTTTTGTCAGCTAGCCACTTATATGGGAAGTTTTTAATTTTGTTTGTTAACTAACTTTCAGTTTTCGTGTATCAATTCTTTCTCTACAATCCAACAATTTAGTCGTAGGCACCTACCATTGCAAAGACAGTCATATGAATTAATCCTTTATAATATTATTATTTGTTTTTCTTTGCGTTCCAACTGAGACCAAAATAGGGGGAGGGCTGCTCTCAACTTACAAATTTGGATACAGACATTCGAATGGGAATTGTTTGAAACCTCCTTGATATATTGACTTTTGCGAAAATCTCGATCAACACATGTACTTAATTTCATTGGAAAATAATTATCCAAATAAATATTTTCTAGCTTTCAAACATACAAAAGTTTATATCTTATTTAAATGTTAGCCACATGGGATCTTTCATTCATATGATTAGACAAAAAGATCTATGCACAGTTTTTCCAGACATCTTAACAGAAAATTCTAAACTTGAAAATTGTGTAAGCCCTGTTGCTATCCTTGCAGTATATTTTTATATAGAAGGAGACCCTCCCTCCAGTGACTGACTCCAACTGTTTTGATTTCTTTTAATTATAATGCATTGCAATATATTATACCCTGTTGTATGGTTTAGTATAGATACTTGGAAATCAATTATTATTGCAAAAGTTCAAAACCATTTTCATAATTCATTTTCCAAAGCAATATCCCGAAAAATATTTTATTTTATTTTTCATTGGCGACTGCCTCTAGTTTTGCTAATTCAACTTAATCAGTTATGCACAACGTTAGACGGCATCGATAAGGAAATTATATAAAATATGTTTTCTCATTGAACAACATGTAGTCTTTATTGACGATGATTCAGCCACTGACGTTCATTTTAGTCATGTTTCTGAACAAATCAATTATATCGAACAATGTTATGTGGTTGCTATAGTAAAATACGATGTAGTTATGAATCAGACAAACACAAAAGAATTGCTAGCCAACGAAAAGTTTGTTAAAAGTTCCAATATCTTTTTTACTAAGCTGGTTATACTTTTCCTTATTTGTAGTTGTTTTGTTTTATTAAGCAATTTACACATAACGTGTGTTTTGTATAACATAGAGAGCTGACTGTTACGAGGTATAGCAAATATTTAGGGAATAAGAAAAAAATATGCAAATGAAAAATATAGGTAATATAATGATATGACTTCACAATAATTAAAATAAAAATATCAAAACCATAAATAGAAAAGAAAGAACAACTTTTTTTTTCAACTCTTATAATACATATATACATTTAACCTATATACATTTAAATGAGAAGAACTCATTTTGTGTGTCGCTTCTCTTCCTTCCACATAAATCTATCATCATGCCTCTGTGTCCTATAGGTATCATTCATAGCCGCATTTGTCATCCTCGATGATGATTATTCTGTTTGGGTTATTTTGGAAGGAAAACGAAAATTAAGGCGTCCGGATATTGTTTCCGTCATCGGACGGACTTTTAAGTCATAGACAAGACTTCCGTTTATGACTGTTTAAAATGATGACAAATGCGACTATGCATGGTACCTATAGGACACAGAGGCATGATGATTAATTTATTGTCAAAGGAAGAGAAGCGACACACAAAATCAGGTCTTCTCATTTAAATGTATAGATGCCATTCCAGGCCCTATTGTTTTCCACATAATTAATATAACCAATAATTAACAAGTTCCGGGTTTGAATTCGATACCGATACCCATAGTATGTGTCATATGTAGTTTCCGGTAGTTACCTGTTTTACCTTTTGTAAATCCCTCTTCTATCAGGAGAACCTGAAATTCTTCCAGTGGTTGTTTTGTATCTATGTTACACTATAGTATACTATTTAACAAGTCTGTTTTCTTCCACCTCAATACCTCTATTAATTTTATTAATTAGTTAAAAAACAAAAGTTATTTTATTGTGAGA